CTCCAGGACAGGGGGGGGGGGCACCCACGTCCCATGGGACATGATCCAGTCCCAGTAGGAAATGTCACCATCCCCGTGGGGCCCTTTCCCATCCCAGTGGGTGACGTCCCCACACAGCTCCACCAGGCACATCCCAAACTCCACATGTCCCTACACCCCCATCCCTGTCCCTGCATCCACATCCCTACATCCCCAGGGAGCCATGGGTGTCCACGCTGCCTCCCCCCTCCCCCCAGTCCCGGGTGCCACTGCGATCACCTGCAGCTCTTGCAACACCCCAGTGCCAACCCACTGACGTGGGTCCCCATGCCTGGCCTTGACCCCCAGGACAGGAGGGAAGCATCACTGGGGCACAGTGGGGACATGGAGGGGAATAACAGAAGAAGCTCCTGCCCCAGAGCTGGGGGGAAGGGTGTAGTGCTGGTAAGAGGGTCAGGAACTGCCCCCCCCAAATCTGTGGCACCCTGATAACTCACCCACCCCCTCCGCCCAGTGCTAGGGTGCAGCTCAGGGCTGTTTACAGGCGGTCCCGTGACAGTAGGGGACACGTGGGTCTCTTATCTGCCACCCCAGCCCCGGCTCCCTCCCAGGGCGTGGGTCCAAGGAGGGGCAGGAGAGAGGCTACGGGGCAGCATGGGACAGAGGACAGTGCCCACCCCAGCACATACCTCCCCCCCACACCACTACAGCGATGGAGGCAAAGCTGAACGCAGCCTGCGATGTAATGGGGGGGAGGGGCAGCCCACAGCCCCCAACCCCTCCCCAGAGGGGCAAGGACCACACCTAGTCCTTACTCAAAGAGCAATCACTGCCAGGGGAATCTGAATTAAGTCATTAAAAATAAGAAGAGTGGCCTCCCATAACTGCTAATCTACAGCTACAGCGCAGCAGGGGAGTCAGGCCAGGGGCAGGCACAGCCTCAGTGCTGCAACCCCCTCTAGAAAATTAGTGCCAGGACGTTTATATTAAAAAAAAAAAAAAAAACAACAAAAAAACCACACAACACTTCAGTGACAACACTACGCAGAACAGAGGAAGCCCCAGAGATGATGGTAGCCCCCATCCTGCGCCAGGACAAGCCCCCTTGGCTCCTGGAGGGGAGGGTGGCAGCAGGAAAGCAGGAGCAGCATAAGCCCCAGTGCCCTCACACCTTCAGGATGGCATACTTGAAGACAGCCATGATGGCAGCACTGATAAGACCCGAGATGGGGACAGTGACGAACCAGGCCATGAAGATGTTGCGGAAGAGGCGCCAGTCCACCGCCTTCCTGGAGCGCAGCCAGCCCACCGAGACCACGGAGCCCACCTGTCCAAGGAACCGGGGCAGGGCTCAGCACAGCAGCAGGATAGGGCACCCCCCACATGTCCACCACCCCACAGCCCTTCCCAGGGGTGTCCAGAGTCTTGCTCCAGCCCTTGGGGACCCAGCAGAGCAGAGCTAGGAGCTGCCAGCCCGGGTTCCAATGGCTGCTTGGCAGAGCCCAGGGGCACATCAAAAGGAGTTTTGTCACCTCCTCAAGTGCTCCCTCACCCACCCCTGGGCAGCCACAGCCACTGCCATTGAGATGCAAATGGCAGAGCTGGGACCTGAAGGCCGGCCAGCAGCCTATTTTTTGGGACCTCCCACACAGCTCAGCCTTATTAGCACCAGGATTGAAGGGAAGCCCAGCTTGCTCCTAGCCAGTGCCATCCCCTCCTGCCACCCCCACCTACCTTGCAGTGGGTTGTGCTGATGGGGAGGCCAACATTGGAGGCAATCACCACCGTCAGGGCAGATGCCAGCTCAATGCTGAAGCCACTGCAGAGACAGAAAGTGCATAAGAACCCGGGCGCTGGAGCCCCGCACGGCCTGGCACATCAGGCTGGCATAGCCCACGTGGGACCTGGGACTGCTCTCCCCAGGCAGACCCTGCACCAGGGTCAGCTCCTCACTTGGCTCTCCAGCCCCCCAGCAGCCCCAGGTTGACACCCCCAGGGGTGCAGGGAGGTGTTACCCAGCCACATACACCCCAGCTCCACCACCCAAGCAGTGAAACCCCCAAAAAAGAGCACAGCAAGGTGCTCCAGGAGCAGGATGCAGCTCTAGGACTGCCTGAAGCCTCCCCCTGCCCCAACGCAGACCTTACCTTGATGGTGTGATGGGCGTCAGGTCCTTCCCCATTGTCTGGATAACTCTCCTTCCCCAGACCCACAAGCCGATGCAAATCCCCACACCTCCATAGAGCAGCAGCCAGATGGGAGTTGCCACCTTGGTAGCCACATCACCCGTCTGGTAGACCAGGTAGAGTGCAACCAGGGGCCCTATGGCATTGCTGGAAGAGAAAGGAGAACTGGTCTAGATGGCCAGAGGCTTTGGGCAAGGTGGGCACCAGCCCCAGTGAGCAACCCCACCACTCCTGCTAACTCAACTGACCTGACATCATTGCCACCGTGAGCAAAAGAGCCAAAGCAGGCTGTGAGGATCTGCAGGAACTGGAACAGGAGGGACACCTCAGGTTTGTCCTGGTCATGCCATTCTTCCAGGGAGCTACTGCTACCCTTGCGGTCACTATCACCCATCTCCACCTGGGCCGTGTTCAGATCCACATCAGCAACTGGGTGGGCATCTGCCACTGCGTTGCAGTAGCTGGTATAGCTGTCCATGCGGACCCTCTTCTTGGTGTCCACCACAGGCCAGGTCAGCTTCTCCATCTCCTCACCCTCCTTGGCCCGGAGAGAGTCCAGGGGCATGCCGCAGATGGCCATGGTGTAGGAGGTGTAGCTGTTGTTGCGCCGCAGGGGTTTGTCCCCTGAGTCCCCCATGCAGTCCCCCATCTTGGCCAGGTGCAGTTTATGCAGCAGCTCCTTGTAGAGGCCGGAGTCCTTGTGCACAGTGTGGTACTGGTACTGCCCACTGGAGCTTATCTGGTGGCCTACAGCCTGGTTGAACTGGACAAGGTTGCCGCTGGGCAGCCGCATGGCTCCTGCCAAGGGACAGCAGGGGTTTAGCACCTAGGGTTACCTGGGATGGGGGAAGGCCACCCCAGCACCTCCATATCACCTCCCACCACTCACCGCTGTCGATGCTGGTCTCCTTCAGGTCAAGGCTGGGGAGCCTCTCCTGCTCTGGGGCCTCCTCCAGGTCCCCCATGTTGAAGGAGACTGTCCTCTCCTCCACTGCTGCCCGGTGGGGCACAGCCAACCCCACATCAGCAACGGGGCTCTTGGCATCGCCCAGGGGCACCTTAGGCTCCTCGTGGTCCTCCTTCAGGCTGATGTTCTTCTCCATCAAGGGGCTTTCAGAAGGACTGGATTTGATCTCTCCTGTGAAGGGAGGCAGATGCCATCAAACCCCTTCCCACCACCGCACCCAGCACCAGGAGCAAGCCCACACCCCTCATCACTCAGATTTACGGCAGCTAAATAAAATTTACAGCTTTCCCCCCCCCAGTCCTGAACTTCGGAAACTGCCGGGCAGTCACACCTTGTCCTGGGCACGACAGCCAAACCATCACAAGCCAGCTCATCTCCTATTTTTAGAGCCCCCCCCACCCACACAGGGCGTGGTGAGCACCATTACGGGGCTTTTATGCCTGTTCTTCCGATGGCAGAGGTTCCTCTTTGAGCCATGTTTGTCCCATCCCCATAGGCCATAGGATGTTCTGGACCCACTTCTGGGGTAGCTGTGACCCCTGAAGCTGATGGGAAAGTGCCCAGAAGAGCCCAGCTCTTCTGCCAGCCCATCAGCTCCAGCCTGCCGGGAAGACTCGCCAGCCTGGGCTTCTCTCCAGCTCCCGACAGTGGGTGACAAACCCAAACAGGAGCCGGTCTCCACCTTCTGAGGGCAGGCTGGTTTCCTGTCCCACTGGAATTGCCAAGCCAGCAGCATCAAGCCCTGGAAGCTGTTACTCCCCCCTGGACTGAGAAAAGCATGTTTTCCCCAGGTGAAAACATGAGGTCAGCTCTTTCAGACAACAACAAAAAATCACCTCCTTGTCACAAACAGGACCATTTCCCAGCCAGCTGGCTTGCTGCAAGGGCCGGGCAGTGGCACCCAGCCCCTCACCCTGACATCCAGTGCCCATCTTTCCCTGCATCCCACCCCCTCCCAGCGATGCTCCCCAGCAGGCAGGGCAGCCCACCTTGCAGGCAGGAGTTAAGCCAAAGCTCGAACAGCTGGAAGAATGTCAAGGGCAGCCATAAAGCTGTCAGACTGGTGTAACTGGGGTGTGACTGACAAGGACACTGGTTATCCCCTCATCCCCCAGTTCCTTAAGTGCCCCAGACTGCACACCAAATTTATATGCAAGACCACACACAGCTCCAGGAGAGCTGCCTGTACTTTTCAGGAGGCAGAGCTCGGGACTGCTCTTTTGGATGCCTTTCAATAGATTTTTTTTTTTTTTGCTACAGGGAAAGGATTTCATCAGCTTACACAGCTTTAAACTTGTGATCTGCATCTGCCAGGCCAAAGATTGATCAGCAGGTATGCAGCGGATTAAAGGTTACACCGGTTAACAGGCAGGTTGTCTCCTGCCTCCTCTTCTCTATTAAACAGGGAAATTGGGCTGTTTAATGTTGCCTGCTGTCTTGTGCGGTTCAAGGAGAGCTTGCCCTGCTCAGAAATCAGCTGCCAGACATTGCTGGGCAGCGCGACAGCTCCTTTGAGGGGGATTTTGGGGTCCCAGGAGCAGCTTTCTGGTGCTGCTGGGGGTTTAGGAGCATGCAGGGTGCAGCTCAACGAGATGTGACTCAGGGTTTGCAGAGCAGCTTAAGTGATAATTGACCCTGAGAATCCCTGCTAATAACAGCCCTGCGGCTAATGAGATCTCCCGCTGGGAAAAGAAGTTGGTTAGTCCGAGTGTGCCCTTCCCAGAGGACTGCGAAGAGAGAGGTGTTACTTACGTTCGATTTTCTTCTTCATTCTCGGACATACAAAGAACCAGACGATGAGAGCACAGACAACAGCACTCCCCGCCGAAATTAGGAGGATACCCCACAGAGGAAGTTTGTCAAAGCCCAGCACTAGGAAATAAAACAACGGATCTTTGAAAACCTCTGGGCAAAAAGTCTCCTCAACATACGACTCCACTCATCCCAGCACTGGGACTCCATCACCTGCAGCATCCCTGAGCTAGTTCATCTGACAGGGA